ATTATAATAATAATAATTATTATTTCTCACAGACTCGTATGTTAAAAACAATGTTGCTTGTGTAAAAAGCATCCCAGGCCTTCAGTAAAATTTCAGCTACGAGGAGAATCAGCATATTTCTGTTCACATTTTAGTACAGAGCATCTGTTCATGTGTAGTTTGTGCTTAGAAGAAATAGTTATCTCCACTCTCAAGCAAGCACTGCTTTGGTGGAATACTTTCATTGCAGAAAGCCATTCCTCTTGCTACCATGTGAGGGGTTTTCATGGGTGGCACTTTGACACTCACTTTCCTACTGGTGGATTCGGGTCATGCAGGACAGCTGCAGCATGCAGAGTGCTGGTGGGCATCACTCATCCCATGGTAACAGTTCCACTGAGGGGCAATTGCTTCTTATTCATCATAGTGAAGTGTTACTACGTAAGAGCAAATGTGTTTCTCATGTGCATATCACAGCTTCCCTTACCCTAGTTTGTTTGGGAAGCTAGGATTTGTGCTTCTTCCCAAGTCACAACAGTTTGCCTGCCAGTGTATCAGGAAACAGGAGGAGCAAGACTATCCATGACTAGTGTAAGTACTCCATTACCAAAAGCAATTGATTTGGGGAAGAAAGGTAGGGGTGCCCAGGGGGGCTTATGGAGCTTGCCAGCTGAGGAGAAGAAATGGGGACTAGAGATGAAGGTAAGTGATAAGACAGACATTATGCAGCATCAAAATAACTGGTCCCACTGCAGGTTTTTTGGTTCAGCAATAGCAGATGAAGCATCTGAAGACCTCTATTTTGACAGGAAAGGTTGAGGAAAGACTGGAAAATATTCACTTTAAGCATAATCCAAAGTACTTCTTTATCTCAGATGATTTTCTGCGGGTTTTGCTTGCTGTGTGGAACAAGATCTTTGTCAGCTTGTGCTGTCCCACTGATACATCCTCTTGTACCTGCATATCTTCCACCTACTCCTTCCCGTGCTTCAGAACAGCTGTTCATGTGTTTTGTTCTTCTTTTCTCTTGATAAGGATTTTCTTCGCAACATCCCAGGCAGCATTTTGTCATCCCAGCTCTGTGATAAGTGGGTCTCTGTGATGGATCAAGGAAATAATGAAGAGAAGATAAAAAGCATCCAAAGGTAGAGTTACTTATATTGTCTGTATTCTCCTGTAAATTTATATCCCAGCATGCAGAATACTAAATATTCAACTTACAAATTCCTATTTTTTTAATAGATGCTAAAAATATCTTTGTATATGACAGTGCATTCAAACTTAAATACTTAAGCGATTGCCTGTGTGGTACAATTTACTGAATCTCTTTTGTCCTGCTTTTCTGCCTTTTGTGGATACCAGTAAATAAATGAAATAACCATTCATGAAAAAAAAGTATTTCTCTTATTTATAAACACGCTGTCCAAGACCTGGATTTTTGCCTGACACCAAACCCTAAACCACCTGCAGGGAACTTAGGGGTTCTGGGTGAAAGGATAGCTGGAGTCAGTTCCTCATACATTGCCCCTCATTCATCTCTATATTTTAGTGACCATTTTCAAGCCAAAATGGAATTGTGAATGAAATACTGCAGCATAGTGACAAGGGAAGCCTCCACCCTTGCAGGTGATAAGAGAAAGTGAGCAAAGTTTCTGTCATGGGAAACAGAGCTTTGTACACTAGCTGACCTCACACGTACCTATGGCAACTGGATGGCAGGGAGAGACAACTGAACTGTTTGTCTGAGTGAATAGGGAATTCTCAGGCACCTTGGGTGAAATACAGTTTCACGTCATACATTGCACTTGGTTCATTAGTTTGACAGAGTGTAATTTTAATTATCTTATAATTAACTTTAATTATAAGGGTGTTTTCTGTCCTCCCAGAAAACTTTTCAGAGATGTGTCACAGTGAGGGAAAGCAGCTGAGCAATGCCTCCTCTTAGACACACTCCCTGGCTTAATTAGTGGACCATGTTACCCTCCTTCTGTCTTTTCATTAGCTTGATGTGTGCGTATCCCTGAAAAATATTATCTTCAAGGTTTTTATTTTGTCAAGTCACTAATTTGAAGAATTACTTTTGTGTATGTTTTCAGGTTAATAGAGCAGCTCCCCAGAGCTAATGTTGTCCTCTTACGTTACATCTTTGGAGTACTGCATGGTATAGAAATGCGATCTGAAGAGAACCAGATGAATGCATTTAATCTGGCTATCTGCATTGCACCTAGCCTGCTCTGGCCTCCTGTTTCCTCCACTCCGGATATAGAAAGTGAATTTACAAAAAAGGTAAGAGACACTGCAATGTAGTAAAAAACCCAAACGACCTTTATCCTCTTCAACCAGGCTGTTGGTTGGAAATGTGAAAACAGTCAGTACCTCTTCAGATCAGGACTTGTCCTCTTATCAGGGCTCCAGAAATGTTCATTGATCCATAACCTGCCTGGAAGAAGGGGAGAGAGATCATAAAGCAGTACCCTGTGTATTAGCAAAGGGCTTCTGTCACCCCAAAGATCGCCTTGGAACAGGAGAGGGTAGATGTCGTGGTTTAACTCCGGCTAGCAAAATACCACGAAGGTGCTCTCACAGATCCCCCTCCCCTCCTCCAGCAGAAAAGGAAAAGATGTATACAAGCATGTATACTGGGACATTTTAGTTGGGCCTGGGTGTTTTCCTCAGGGCCAGGAGGTTGGGAGAGGAGTTCCTGGCTGTCGCGGAGCACATCACAAATGGGCAGTTTGCTCCTGTTCCTCATCTGCATGGTGAGTTTGCCTTTGGTGAAATAATGGAAGGTCTGACAGGACCTCTCTTTCTCATTGCTTTGTTGCAGATTTCTAGTCTGGTACAGTTCCTCACTGAGAATTGCTGCAGGATTTTTGGAGACGAAATTACCTCCCTCTTTGGAGAAATACTGATGACGTGCAAGAGAGAGAATGGCTCAGGTACATCAGATGATCCAAAGAATCCCTTGCTCCTATTCCAGTCATCTGAACCCCTGTGTTAAAAAACAGGGGGGATGTGAAACAAAGAAAAAGAAAGATCCAGAGAAGGTTTCATCTTGAGTCTAGAATTTTTGCCCTAGCCTATGTTTTCCCAGAATATCAGGAAGTCAGTGATCCACAGTGGTTATAATACAACTGACACAGCATTATATGAGAGTTGAAAGCATCTAGTCTTCATTCTCAAAAGACATGGATCTCCCAAGTTTCAAAAGAACATGCAGATTTTGCTCCTACCACAGAAAAATCATAGTTTGACAGACTAGTTGGCAGAGCATTCCAGAATATCATTAATACCCTTCTTCTCTCCAGCCCCGTGATAACGCTGATTTTGACTGCAGTTTTGGGTCTCTCCCTAAAATATTTCTAAAGCAATGTTTCTGTAAAATAAATTTTGGCACAGCTGGCCAATACTGAAAGGGGTAATGGCACTTGCTCCGGCATGCCAGACTGACTCCACGTGTCCCTCCCAAACTCCCCATGCTCTGCCTCCCATGAAAGCTGGTGACATTCCGTGAAATGTGGCCTGCCCCCTCCCACATGGGATCTGCTGCGCTGGGATGAGCTGGGCCTGAGAGCCCAGGCGCACAGGAGGTTGCGGCGGCTGAGTTGGTTTTCAGGCAGGCGCTGAGGCGTGGTGGCTACCCATGCGTGAACTCTCCCTGCTGCAAACGCGAGATAAGTCAGCTTAGCACGGCCCAGAGCAAAAGAGATTTAATGTAATTCCAATCATGGCATATCTGGGCCAGGGCGCAGGTGTGCACCTCTCCATCGACATGCGGTGGCTGTCTAAACTGAGACTAGCACTTTCTTCATAGCGTTGCTCTTAAAAATACTGTAATTTCTAGAAGAGCATAAAAATACAAAGTATGCCCTTGATTGTTCAAAAGAAGGAAAGAAAGATTAAATGATGTTTTCAGTGTTCAATAATGAATATAAACATTCAATAAATTACTGTAATATTCTGTATGCAAATTACTGTTCACAGCTGGCTTGCCTAATACTGAAGTTCCCCACTTAAAAAAGGGAACCCCAAGCACGAAAACCCCCTCACCCTTATTTGTGCCTTTATCCTGTGCTTGGCTGAACTGCAACTTGGCACAATCTTTCCATTTCAAAATTAGACACTATTTTTTTCTGAAATTACTGGCATTTATGCTTGAAGAATCTTTAAAGGGCAAATGCTCCTGAAAGTAAAGGATACTTGCAAAAAAAAAACCCCAGCGCAGCTGCTTGTCAGCAGGGTGGTTCAGTCACTGATGTGTTAACACTTGGTTTGTCCTCCCAGATGCTGCCTCCCTCCATCTGAACGACTCTTCCTACGACAGCCTGGAAAACGAGGTGAACGATGAAGCTGACTCCTCTTCCAGCGACTGGATTAAGAACCGAGATCAGGATAACAGGAGCAGGGAGTCTGTCTTCACCCTGAGCGACGGTGATTCGGAGCAGACGGAGGTGGATGAAATCCCAAGTAAAACCAAATCGAAACAGTTGACGATTTCTGTTGATGTTCACTGTAAGTTTTCATCACAAGAAAACTCGGAGAACAAGTCTCTCTGCTCCAGTGCACTGGGCTTCTCTTCAGCAGCTACCTCAGGCGTTCTCAAGAGCTTGAGGAGACACAGGCGCTCCTCAGAGCCGGCAATCGGCCTCCTCACCCCCAGCTTTGCCCGCGCTGGCGACGGTCATGAGAAGGCAACGCGCAAAACCAGCTGTGACGTTGTCCTGTCCCATGAAGATGAAGACTATCTCCGTCAGCTTCGGTCACTGCAGATGGAGGGGCAAAAGCTTATCAATCAGAGCTTGATTATAGGGATTAATGTTGGTAAAAGTGACAATGCAAATCAAAACGTTGAAAAGAAAGACTTATCCCATTGCCTCCTGCCTCCGATGCCAGAGGGATTAAATATTTGCTCAGGATTTAGCTCTTCTAGCCTGTCTTCTCCTGCAACGTCTCCATCTGTGTCATCCATGAGCTCTCTGGACAGTGCTTTCTCTCAGTTTTCAGACCAATCTGTGTTTACCCCAACTGAAACCTCCTCCCCTTTCGATAGCACTTTTCAGTCGCTAAAGAAACACGAAGACGCTGACGCTGAAGTGGCTGATGACTTTTTGGTGACACCCACCAAAGTGCCACCATCTCCACAACCTTCCGACGCCGTGGCTGAGGGGGCCTTGGTGGAGCCCAACAGCAGGCCAGCGGCCCTGGAACCTACTGACGGAGTCGGCGGCTGTTTGGTTAAGCCTAACATTCAGCCGTTACCTCTGAAAGTCACAGGAAGAGACAGACTGCATGATCCAAGATCAAAGAGGAGGTCTAGAAGAGGGCTACAGCAATCCAGAGTTTGAAGAGACTGACCAAAGCGTTTTGTGGAGGAATCTTAACGCTTAAAATAAACACCGTAAAGAAAATGCCTTTGGTGTTAATGTGTGTTCATTTTAAGTTTATTATCCAGGTTGTTCAAATTTAATTGAGCAGTCCCCAGGTTCACAGGTTTTCTTTTTTCGGAAACTGAGTAATGTTCCCACATAAAGCTTTGCAAGAACACTGTAAGAATAATAAAAACTGCTAAAAAGCAAGCAAACAGAAACCTCCCGAAAATCTGGAAAGGTCCCAGGAGGTACCTGAGAGAAGCTCCCTGTTGCCTGAGCCTGCCAGGGCAGTGGGGTGCCTGCTGGCCCTCTCCCCTTGACCACTCATACGTTGAGCCTTGCAGATGTGAGTCCCGGTCCTTTGTGGTTTTGATGTAGCGTGCAGAGTCAGCGTAGATTCCATAACTGTGGTACGATACTACTGTTCGCAACTGATAGGTGTTACCGTCATCGTCCTCCAAGGAGTAAGCGTGTTGCTTTCTGTGTGTTTATAAGGTATGTTCAGTAGCTGTAGTCAGTTCTTTCACACTGCAAAAGAAAGAAAGAAAGAAAAAAGCTCAAAAATGTGTAAAGAGGAACGCTGAAGCTGGTAACCAAGACCTTGCAGCTCCGTGTGTTTCGTTTACTGTGCTTCGGTGGCTGTTCGTGTTTAAGTTGTGAATAGTTCCGTAACATCGCTGTAAATGGCATAATGTTTTATTGCAAGCAGAACACATGTAATTTTATTACGCAGCATCTAAAACATCATATAATATATTAAAAGTAATGCATTATCTAAATGCTTTGAGTTTGTATAATATATCCTGATAAATTTTGCTATTATATATGTTCTGAAAAAAAAAAATGTGTATTTTTGTACTTGCAAAAAACCTGCTGCTAATTTTACGAGTTCTGTTTTGTTGTTACAGCACTGGTATTGATGTGTATGCATTCAATGCTATCTATTAAATATTATTTGTTATGTCCTAAATTCAATTTATATTCTGTGTAATTTTTTTTTTAGGTATCAGTCCTACGAGCTATTGCTGAAGCAAAAGTCCCAGTGATGCCACTGCAAATCTTGCCTGAGGATGGACTGCAGCATTTTTCCTCCTCTTTGGGTGGCATCATTCACACTGTATGTCATCACCCTGCTAACTTGTGTAGATTTTAGTAATATTCAAACAAGAATCCATACCCTTTCGCGCTTCATCTAGAGAGACGAGGGTGTTTTCTGCTAATGGGATGCAGTTAATATGGAGAGCAGAGAGATCTTTTTGGGTCGTAGGGATAGGGCTGAGAGGAAAGAAGGGAGGGGAGCAGCACACTGGGTGAGAGGAAGATTTGTTCATTAGTATCAGCAGGGCTATAGGGAACGCAAGAAGGAACAGCAGAGCTGAACTAAACACGTCTGGGCATGTGTGAATGCATTCAGTGCTTCTGAACGTGCACTGATTCATTCATCAGCTCTCCCCTTTCAAAAGCCCGCTCTCCACCCCAGTTAATACTGGCCAGTACTGGAGTCTCAGATCCTACTCTGCTTAACTGTTCTCTGCTAAAGGTGCTTATGCTCCCAAGTCACCACACACTGCCGAAAAACGCAAACGCTGCCCAGTGCTCTCAGCCATTTCCGTGCATTAGCAGCGTGGAGGGTTTTTGCTCTGAACCCGACAGAATGGAAGCTCTCCAGCAGACCTGGGCGGGGGCGTGATGTGCGTTAACAGAGTTAGAACTCTCCTTACTTGAAAGTACAGGCTCAGAGGGTTATTATTTTGAGCCCTAATCCTGCAAAGGTACCTACCTGTAAGCAGAGCTGCGTTTGTGGAGACGCACGTAATGCAACAAAACGTCATGTGCCTGCAGCTCTACCAGCACGTGCAGCTGTGCGCAGGCTCAAGGGCTCCACTGCGCTTCCTTCTTTTCCAGCTTCTCCATATTCAGCTGTTTTACTGACAACGGTAAAATGCAGAATCTGATCTGTAGTAGTCACCTTCCCGAGGTAAAATCCTTCGTGTGTATTTTGAGACCGGTGCCTAATAGCCCTACACACGCACCTCCTTTAAAACAACAACAAAAAGACGCTATTTTGAAATAAAACAGCTGCCCTGCGTTTCTTTTTGACGCGGTAAAAAGCACACTGCCCTGCTGCCAAGATTACATCAAGGAGCGAATGCTGATTCATTGCAACAATAATAAAGCTGTAAAAAACCTCCAGTCTCTGCAATATAAATGTTCTGTCCTACAAATGAGATCTTCCAGCAAGTCATTTGTCTCCGCTCGTCTGAAGTAAAAGTATAACCAAGAGCGTGTCGATGTGGAACAAACGATGTGTCTGCCTTTGAGCTGTGGCTAATGCCAGGGTGCTTTCGGCTCTAAACGCATGGTGAACAGGCTGGATGGGGACCCAGGACAACGTATAACTCCTGCCTTACACGACGGACACCCCGCCGCTGCGCGAGGCGTGCTCTCTGCCAGTCCCGAAGAAGGAGCGCTGATGAAGAAGATCACTGTCTGCAGCTCCTCACTGAAGGAATTAAACGCTGCTAAGACCCAAAACGCTCTAGGCTGGACCTTTTTGGAGCGTCAGCTGCGACTCAGGACTGCGGCAAGCAGCAGCAGCTTTCAGAAACCAGCGCTGAATGCACGGGGGTCCCTGCTGCGCTGTTCCCCATGGGCTGGGATGGGGTCTCTGGTGCAGGGAATATTAAAAAGAAGGTTTTGTGACTTTTTTATGGCTCTGCTGAGGGCCTGTGAGGAGGTTGTCGGGGTGAAGCTGGCCGCGAGGGCTGAGCCCTGAGGCCCCTGGAAAGGTCCTGCCCAGGATCCGGTCACCGTGGGACACCACATCTTCCCCGGCCACCTTCCTCCCCGATTGGGGTGCCTCCTTTGGAGGAGCTGCCCAGGTTCTAGTGACAAACGGTAGGTGAGATGCTTCCAAAGTGTTGTCTTCTTTCCTGGAGTAGCACAGCCCCACAGAAAAATAACAGAATAAAGAGACTGGCTTAGGGAAGAAGCAGTGGCAGTGACTCCTCAGTCGCGGCTGCCAAGCGCACAGAATGAAGCCAGCTGAGGAATTGCCTCTCGCACTTGGACTTTCTGTCCCATGGGGGTTCACGATCTCATCACTAATGAGCATCCTGCCTCTTTTTCACAAGTGCTAACCATCGTTCCTTCCACTTAAATTCAAGAGATCAATATAATGTAAATTTAGAGCAATTTTTTCTCAACCTACTTTGAAATTTTTTGCCTTTCTTTTAGCCTAAAGGGCTTATGTGCCTGAAATTTCATTGTTTGGGTTTGGGGTTTGGGTTTTTTTTGGTGGGCTTTTCCATTTTTCTCCATCAGTCTCATAAATGCTATTGCTCCATCCCTGCAAGATTTCTCTCTCCAGCACAGCCCAGTTCAGGAAGCAGGAAGATGAGTCCCATCTATTCTCTATTTAAATTAGTTTGTAGAGCTCAAGCAGAATCGATTAAAGGTCCTGGGGCTGAAGCGTGACCCTTAAACAGAAGGTGTCCCTCTGCCCATGCCTCCAAATCACCACATTTCTGTTAATCCCTGCTGGTCCAGCTCCTTTCTTCTTCTGGGGACATATGTGGCTTCAGGACCTGGTGGCTGATGTCTCATTTCCAGCTCTGCTCCTGAGCAGCTGTATGACATCTGGCAAACTTATTTGCCTCCTCCAGTCCCTGCTTCGCACTGCTATTTTTTTCTCTAAATATCCCAGTTTGCTGGGACAGGCTGGTGGTTGCTGGTGGTGGCACAGCACAGGCTGGGATGCGATATGTGTGGGACCTGGACGATGGTGCTACTGCTCAGGGGTGAAACCCACTGACAGCCCTGATTTTATTATGGCTGTGGTGATGTCTGTGTTAGATGGGGAACTTGCTAACCACGTTCCTTGGCAGCATGGAGCTGTTATTTAAATTTCTACCACATCCACATCCTTCCCATGCCTGCTCCTGGAGCAAGGAGGGAGCAGAAGTTCCTGCTTGAGGGTATTTTCTCCCATCCCAAACATAACCATTCACCCACGCATGACCAGCTGTGGGACATCAGGAGGTGGCCAGTGCTTTTGGGGACCACACGTGCACTCACACGTAGGTGCACATGGTGAGGCTGTCATGAGCCCTGCAAACCAACCTGTGCATCTACGGCACATCCAAAACAACCTCAGGGAGTTGGACCTGTCAACCGTCGCTGATTTTCATCCATAAAAACATGGCATAATTCAGGCTGGAAGGGGCCTAGGAGGTCTCTGGTCCCTCCTCCTGACATGGGCTTGCACTTCCATGTAGCTCATGTCTGGAGGAGGGATTGCAATGCCACAGCCCTTCACTGCTGTTCATCACAGCCAGGGAAATCCAGCAGCATGTAGCTAACTCAGGCAGCTAAATAAAATCTTTTGGATCAGCTGATGATGAGTTTTTAAAGAATCCAGAAAACGTCTAAGAAACCAGCAAAAGCTGTAGTCCTACACCCAATCTGCAGGTTATCCCAACAACCTTTTGTATTAGGAGCAGAGACTACGGTATGTTTTTCCTCAGTATTCTACGCCTCCCCTTACCTGAATCCCGTAAGGAGATAACCCTCGGTGACACCACTGGACATCCCCATGTACTCGCAGCGTTTTGGGGAATCACCTAGAGGGGGATCCAAGGCACTGGCCACACTGCAGGCTTTTCCCTCCCCGCGGGCTGATGCGGGAAGAGGCCAAGCGAGCGGCTGCACTGAGCCGCGTCTTTGGCATTTGCGCAAGGCCACTTCCCCTCAGAAGAGTCCTCCGCTCCTGCCAAGTGTAAGAGGCGGTGGAGCGTGATGTCTGCCGGCTAAGCAGAGCCCTACATAAACATCCAGGGAAGCAAGCCAGAAGCTCATTCACAGAAGCACTTGCGTGATTTCACTTCCTCTCACGATCGGTCACCAACATCTCCCTGTTGAGGCCACCGTCAAGCTAAACTAACTGACCTTCTGATGTCCAAAGGGGAAGACTCTTTGGTTAAAGGCACTGAATATTTCTGTTAGGACGTGGTTGCCACA